CTTTAAGGCACGTATGAAACAAGGATTTTGTTGGGAGTCTTTTTAAAACTCAAGCAAACTATATCAATACTTTATCTGCATTATTACTGATTCTTCACAAAGCACAGGCAGGTTTCTGACACACAGCAACTCTTTGCCAGAAAATGTTTTATCTATATATTTGTTAATGGTATTTTTTTTTTAATTATGATTGTTAATTATTTCACTAGTACAGACAACCAGGCTTACCAGACTGTGGTTCTACAGATCACCTTTTGTACCTTTCACTGGTATGTACTTTTCACCTCTCAGTCCCCACACATCAACATAAATTAGACAATGTCTTTTAATTTAAAACAATTATATTTAAACCAAATGATGGTTTATGACCATTATGATGGTTTTATGATTTTATTCCATCACCTCTTCTAATACAAATACTTTATAAAAAATTACATTTTTATAAGAAATAATTAATTTTAATTATATTTTCATGTTTATATTATTTTTTACCTTGCTTTATATTCATTTTTAATTGAATAGTTAAGTGTTGTGTCATCATTTATCAAGTAAATGATCCCTATGGTGACATTTAAATTAGCAAATTAAACACGATCAGGACACAAATTCAAACACTGAAACATAATTAGTTAAATTCCATATAGTTAAATTGTCAGAACAGAGCAGGGTATGATTTAGACACGAGGAGTCACCATCCCTGGAAGTCTTCAAAAGACGTTTAGATGTAGAGCTTAGGGATATGGTTTAGTGGGGACTGTTAGTGTTAGGTCAGAGGTTGGACTCGATGATCTTGAGGTCTCTTCCAACCTAGAAATTCTGTGATTCTGTGATACTTCACACTCTTCTAAATCCTGTCCTACCATGGACTGGGCTAGCCTGGTCCAAGGGCCATTATCAGTAAGTATTTTGCAGACAGGCTCCCTGTTTCAGGAGACGTGAGGGAGTTTAGTTACATGGACATATGTCATGCTGTACCGGGCAACCTCAAAGTGACTGGATAGGAAATGATGTAGTGTGCAGTGCCCAGCTAATGCATCACACTGACTTCAACTCATTAAACTACCACCAAAAGTCTTCAGTATGAGCACCTGCAAACCTTCATATCAACAAAAATCTGAAATAAAAATCTTCACACTCTTTCCTAAACGTTTGGACACAGTCAGTCAATTCCATCTTCCTGCCCAGAGAGGCAGTAACTAGTTCTCCTCCAACCAACGTTCACTCAGACAGCAGAAAGGAGCCTCCTCTGTTGCACCCTCTCTGTCTGCTTCTTCTCACCATGTGACAGAGAGAAAGAAGAGAAACCAATGATGTCCCAAATTACAAATCTCCAGACATTCACAACAAGAATTGCTGAAGTTTTCTCCACGTATAATACTCTTTAATTGGCAAACAAATGTCTTTGCCTAGAGTATTTCTCATTGCTGCTTAAAAGAAGTAAATAAAGAAATTCAAGGCTGCTTTCCCTGTGGTTGTAAAGGGCCAGCAAGCACATCTCTGTATAGCTCACCCTCACAAGGAGGCATTTATTCCCTGCTATTAGATATGCTTTACTATCAATATCACAGAAAATGTATTTTATTTTGTAATAAACTGATCAAACGTGCCAGCAAATGCTTAATACTACTATTTGATCATATGCATCACCTGCCTACCGCAGACAATACAGGGATATTTAATAGTAGTATACCCTACAGCAGTGTAGAATAGCTCAGAAAAACAGGATCTCCAGTGTATTGCTATGGACATAACTCTCCTTGACAGTGGCCTGAAAAATTAAATGTAAATTAATATACTGGGAGTTTGTCAAATAAATTTTATAGTTTGGCAGACATCTCTTCCCCATGCCCTAATGAGTCCTCAGTAACACTGGAGGAATAGGTTCTACGTTGCAGAAATATTTTTCAGTTGAAACAGGCTACTTAGAGAGGTATATCTCTAAGACAACAGAAAAAACAAAAACAAAAAAAAAAAACCTTAAACAGCACGGTTACTGTAACTCCTGATCCAGAACCATTAACATGATAGTTAGTTTTGATTTCTGTTAAGTACTGAAACACTGCTATTAAAAAAAAAAAAAAAAAAAAAAAAGTGAATCAAAGATTTTCATTTTAAATTTTGAAAGGAGTAAAAAAAAACAAAAACCATTTATGCAGTTTTTATTCCAACACAAGGGATGAGATTGATGCAGACGAAATATAATTCTTCATCCTGAAAGTGTACTTTAGGGTGAACAGTAAAATGACATTTTATCAGGAGAACTGACTATTCCATTTGTGTTGTACAGGGTGATAATCTGATTAGCCACTAGGGAAATAAAATACATTTCCCTTGCATATAATCAATACAGAAACTATATTAATCTCCATATTAACATTCTCTGCACTCACCGTCTCTCCACACTAATATATTATTTATGAAAATAAACTTATTTTTCAAAAAATATAAATTATTTTCAGTTCTCCACAGTCTGTTGTATTACCTACTGTAAAAGACGGATTTTCCTCAAACCCGATTTCCATTTTTTCATGTATCTATTCATAACATTAGCCAGAACTAAGCTGTGAGATTACAAGCAGCTTGAACAGTTACTAAGAAAAGCAAATTTGAGTAATTGGAAGTTAAAACCAGGAAAGCCAGTTGTTTGGCTTGCACAGAAGTAAGCACCTTTCAACCTTGCTCAAGAGAAAAAAAACAACACAGGTATTTGGTGCAATCAGGATCAGCTGCATACATAACAGTCTCGAGTGTCAGTTGTGAAGATGGTAGGTAGTAAACACAACAAATTGGCCTCCTTGACTACTATTCCCAGATCTTGTAGCCTTCTCACCCTTGTATTTACCCCAGTGGGTTTTAGGTCTTTAAACTCTGTGAGCTGAACTGGTATATAATTATACATAATCCTACATTTAATAAAAGACAGGTTATCTAAAATTACGCTTATTCAGTGAACTTCCTCACATGCAGAATGACGCCCAAGCAGTCTCAAAGAAATGGCTATCTCCCCCCCCAAAAAAAATGTCCCCAGTTTTTATTGCTGAACATGATGTTATGTGGCACAGAAAATCCCTCTGTTCAGTTCAAGTCTGCTCCCAGCTTGTATCCCCTAATAATTTCTTGCCCACCCCCAGCTTACTTGCTGAGAGTGGGGAGAGGTGGGAAAAAGAGAAAGCCTTGCTGCTGTGCAAGCACTGCTCAGCAACAACTAACACCAATGTGTTAGTTAACACTGTTTTAGTCACAAATCCAAAACAGCACCATACAAGCTGCATGAAAAAATTAATTCCATTCTACCAAGCACCAGTCCTTTGGATCACACAGTGCTATTTGTAAACTTGAATTAGGTGTTTGCAAATGAGGTCTTCATCACCCAGAATGGAAGCAGCAAGATAAGAAGTATATTCAAACTATATTACAGGATGACCTTTCACAAGTCCTATTTTGGGGTAGATCACTGAATATATGAGACAGTGGTGCAAGAAAGAAAGAAAGAAAAATAATTGCTGAATAACCTTTGACAAGCATACTCCCATCAATTAAATACTTTGTAGAATGTTAACAAGATTAATTGTAAAATGTAACCCAGTGTGAACTGATGCTAGATAAGCCTCATTGCTGAGTGCCTTTGGAACAGAATTGCTCGATGCCTCTCAACTAATTTGACTGACACAGTTAGAAAGTAGGAGACTCTTTACAGAGACAGAATGCAGGTATACTTTCCCAAAAGTTAGATGAATCCTCCAGTCCTAGCCTCCTGCTTTCTGGAAAAGTATCCCTAATCACTAAATTGCTATATTAATAGTAATTAAAACAACTTGCAACACTGACTTCTCCAGTGGCCTTTCTAGGTGCTCAAAAATACTGCACTTTATGCAAATCTCACAGTTATAGGTTTGTGTTCTTTGAAACCTGAATGGAACTTAGGAGTGCGATTTGCTATGCATTCAGTTGGAGAATGAATGAAGAAACATTCAACAGTGAATTGGCCAATACTGTCAATAATGGTTTAGTGGCTTCTAAAATCAACAGGTACTCAAACACTTCCTTTCTTCTGTGCTTGCCAATACATTAGTCTGAGAGTTGAGGTGGAAATGATTCTCAAACTGAGATAGAATATGAAGTGGAGAAGAAACTTCAAGAAATTAGGCCAGAACACTGGCATCAGATATTCATCTTAGGCCTACTATATGTGATGTGATGGTAAAAATGTTCTGCAAATTCAGCTACCAACCTTTGGCTTACCTGTCATAAAAACTCTGACAGGTAATATACAGCAAGTGATAAGTGTTTCCTCTTTTGAGGTTTGGCTGCAAACATCTTAGCACTTAATGCTACATACAAAAATAACGTATTTTAGAAAAATAAAATAGTTCTCCTACTTTATTTTTCCCCCAAGAACAGAGTCACCCCCACTGAAATCTATCACCTTTTAAAAGAGGGATAAAGGAGTTTGAAAAGCTACCATGTTATTTTGAGAAGTCCTTGCCATATTAATTCTACAAAGGAATGTAGAAAACATTTTAATAATTTTCCTTTTAAGAAAATAAAATGCTTTCCAGAGTTCTTGGCCTAAAAAATATCAGATAATCTTCTGATCGTTGTAAGCCATAATCTTTTATTATACAGTACTAATAACTCCCTAGAACACACTGAAAGACCTTGATCCACTTCTAGAACAGCACCATGAAAATGAGTCACTTTCAAGATTCAACATATTGTGCTAGTAGTATTTAACCTGATTCTGCTCTAACCTAGAGATTTGTCTAAACGTAACAAAACTTAAATACTGTTAACATTTCCTGAAAATCACTGCTAGTGAGCTTCAGCTTAAAAAGAAAGAAACAAACAAAAAACAGTAGATATGTATTCACACTTCACATTGTGCTTCTATTTATTTTGTGAAATGCTTCAATATGAACAACCTCATATGGTGAAAGGTTAGAGACAAAATACTATGGATATTCTGTATGCTATCAAAAAATCAAAGTGGAAGGACTTACCACTTCTTCGTGGGTAGCACTTTCTACATTAATACCATTAACCTAAAAACAGAGATGCAATAGGAACAGAATGATTTCCAATATGTAAGTGACTTAACGAAACAAACATAAAGGCAAGTATGAAACAAATGTCTGTAGAAAAAAGCAAACATTTACTGACCTGCATTATTGCATCTCCTATAAATAACATTCCGGTTTGGTCAGCTGTGGGATAACAGGAAGAGGACAATTTAATTCAAAGCAGTACTAAAAAACAATGTATATTATCTTTCAGCATTTGGTTTAGCATGCTGTTTGTAAGCATCATTTCAAACTGATTTGCTTGTGAAAATACCAATGGCATAGCAATCAGTGTTCATTCTAAAAAGGTAATAGATTCCTAGCAATTTTAAACAAATTAAGAGAATTACTTCCCTTGCACAAAGAACGTATTTAATATGGAATACAAATGTCATTTCTCACTAATGAAGGATTTCATTAAATTATGTGGAAAGCATGATTCACACTTTTCATTATTATTCTACAAAAGGGAAATAGGAATTTCTGAAACTACTTAGCAATTCCTTTCCCCCTGAACAAATTTACAGGGACTGCTATAATTAAAGAGGTTGTGCCTAGAATTTAATACAACTCTTTAACATGAAGTTTGACTTATCTTTGTTCCTGAGAATAACATAATACAGTTGGTAATTTGCATGTTTCCTGCCTTACAAAATCAATGGGAATGATATAATGAAACTGCAAAGAAAACTACACAGACACAATGACATTTTTGAGGTGTATTCATCAGCTTTTAAATTTATTTAATTTTTAGCAGAATTCAAGGGTGTTTACCTCTTGAAATTTAGCACTTAATTGAAAGAAAGTCTCCAATCCTGCAGACTGATATGATTAAATTAAGCATATGAATAGTCTTATATGCGATCTTACAGTCACAGTTTGAGACACTGAAGAATGTTAACCAAGATAGTATTTTGAGATATGTAAACAGAGGAAAGAAGGAAAGAGAGAGAGAGACAGACAGACAGACAGAGGAAGGAAGGGAGGAAGGAAGGAAGGGAAGAAGGAAGAAGGGAAGGAAAAAAAAAAAGAATGAACTAAAAATATTCTTACCATTTCTACAATAAAGCTTTTGCCACTGAAAATGTCCCACTTTTGGTTTAAAAAAAACAAACAGCTTCTTTCTGTTAAATCTGTATTTTCTAATAGATTTTTCTTCATTCTTTTGGCAGATAAAAGATACATTTTATTAGTACTTTTATCAGTACTTAGGAAAGATTTTGTGATTTATTTTAAATACCATGTTAAAAGTTGTATTGAAGGTCTTTACCCTACATTTAATCTCAGTTTGTATTTTAAAAATATGCACACAATTTGTAATAGCATAATTCAGTTGCACAGAAGCGCAACTGATTTAAAGCACTGAAAAAACCACAAGCAATTCCATGCAGCCTGTAGAGGCACCTGTATTGCTACAGGAGACAGATGCTACCTTGGGCATCTCAGTATTAAACTTCTGGTCAAGATGTTAGCAATACATACACCAATAGTGAAAGTAATCTGATCCATTTTTTTATTCGTTTATGCCCACTTGTGTTAATGACTAGGAACAAAGCTGAGAAATATTTACTACACCTGTAATAGCAGGTGATAAGGCAGAACAGAGATGGATTATAGCCCAGTAATAGCCCAAGACTGATTATTAGGGGTGTCCTCCTGTAGCAGGTTGAGACCCACCCATACCTCCATGACCCCCCCTAGCATATTTCTGGTTCAACAGATGTTCAAGCACTGTATTATGAGGAGGTCAAAGTTTCAGGGGCTGCTGTATTGCTTTTAAGTAAGGTCAGCTTCTGTGGCTCTTTACAGTGACTGTTGGTAGCAGGAGTGCATCACTGTGTGAGGCTGCTGTGCCTCAGGATGGGCTACTTGGGGGCCCACATAAGTTTTGTGTAACAGTTCCATAAAAACAGGAAAGAGAAAATTACCAACACAAAGTTCTTGAGATAGGGTTAGTAAACAATTCAGGGACTGAGGAGGAAAAACACTGACATGAATTTTTTTTTTTTTATAAAAAAAATCTCAAGGAACAAAAACAGGTAGCTGAAGGATTGTAACTCAGCAGCACTGGAGGTAAATCCCATCCAGGGAGCAATAGAGGCTGAACATTCCCCACCTGATTGCTGACTGCCAAGACAGCAAAGGCTTACTGGCTGTCCCACAGTGATGAGTACTGCAATGCCCCTAGCTACCTATTGTGTGCATTAGCCAATAAATATTATAGTTTAAGTGCACAAAGCAACTATATTCTGCTTGCAGAGTCTTTACACACAATTGAAGTTCTCCAGATAAAGTGAATGAGAGGGGGAGAGTTACACAGCTGATGCCAAATGCTCTATGAATGGAAGTAAAACATGGAAAATAGACTTCCTTCAAAAGTGCATTATACAGTAAACTAACACAATAATGTGGACACCTCCATGGCTGCTGTCATTATGGCCAGTGATGGTACTCTGGCAAATGATGCTAACAAGTCTGTGATGAAACACTTTGCTTTATATGTATATCCTCTATAGCTTAAAATCAATGATGATTTCTAACACAAATATTTTCCAGAAGTCAAATTGTAGAGGAAATGTCACTGCGAAGCAGAAGACACAATATAGTTAGGAAGTGTATTAGAACTAAAGTGACCTGAAAAACTCCTTGGAAAGAGACAAAAAGACAGTCTTGTTCTCTCTCATTTTAAATCTGAAGACAAGTAGTGTATCATTTCAAACTCTACTTATGCTTTCATTAAGTTATACCTTCTCTGAATGAAAAAAACATTGTTGATTTCAAGTACTATGTTCCACTTTATGTGGAACTTTGTCTCTCACTGGTAGCATCCTCACAAAGATGTCTATGAAAGGTTGCTCTGCAATTATGAGTCACGCTGCGTAGAATTAATCAGTACTAAAAACAGACCACTTGAGAAAGTGTATTGAGATACCAAGTAGCATATAATCTTATTCAGAGACACAGTAAATACAACTTTTCTGGAATTCAGGATATCTCTTGAAGATTAACTTGAAATAATATTTTGTAAGTAATGAACTGAACGTGGCCAGAAAAACATGTTCAAAAGAAAACATGCACAAAGTAGTAATAAGCAGAAATGTACCAGGGTTTAAAAGAAAATTAGGTGTGTGCTGCAACAATTAGTATTTGTCACTGATAACAACTCTACATTTCAATTATCTTTTGTACATTCATTAAATTCACAAGTGATACTGCAGTTGGAGGAAAGCATCAGGGAAACCCAAAGGGGCTTCTATAGAGGAAGTGATACAAAATAAACCATAAAAAAAAAAAATAATAATCCTATTCTTAAGAATATATTAGACTTGGAAAAACTTTCCCAAGAGTAAATGACCTATCATACTAGCTATTAAAAATAAATAAATAAATAAATAGACAATCAGACAGAAACATGGACTATGAAAGTTATTTGCACCCTTTGAAAGGATAAAAGAACAAGTAATTCTTCTGAGCTCTGTTTTATTTCCTCTTCATATCCATTAGCTGTATTGAAGTTTTCAAAATTTACAAGATTGTGAAATGGTTAATTCACCAGATTCTTGGGAAACTCTGACTTACCACATGGTAGTGATGCACAGATCTATGCAGATTTGAGTCTGTAAGTAATATGATGTGCTTGTATTTTTCAAGACTTATAACAATACATACTTTCAATAAATTTTTGCTGAATTCCTGAATACTATGAGACATGTACTGGGTGCTAAGTCCTCGAACATTGTATTTATGATACACAAAAACATGCTGTTTTAGGCATACAGGTAAGTTCATTGACTTCATGACCTCTCGATTCTTAAGCTTAACCTTAAATATATGTAAAAGTGCTCAACTCCATAACAAGAATTTAAATGACAAGTTAAGCAAGTATACAAATTAAAAAGAGAAGATGGGAGAAATTGGTATTTAGAATGCAAGAGGTTTCATAAAGTTATTTTCAAGTGTTTTTCTCTTCTCTCTTGGATATAGTTACAGTTGTGACTGTAAAGACACCACTGGTGCAATTCACTTTTATATTTTGTTGAAAACAAGCAGTCTTGTACCTGCATTTGTAATCAATACTTTAAAACAGAACTATATTAACTCAGGTATGAAATACAACCTTGTTAAGGAAGATTTAAAATATTAACATGCTCTTTAGAGGACTTGAGCCAAAAACTGAGAGAGGTCATGCAAAGTGACTGTCAAGTCTCCATCCTTGGAAATAAAGAAAACTCAACTGGACAGTCCTGGGCACACTGCTCTAACTAATGGTGCTTGAGCAGAAGGGTGGACTACATAATCTTAAGAGGTCTCTTCCAACCTCAAAAATTCTGTGATTTGCAAAGCTGCACACAAGACTATATTGAATACCTTTATATATTTTAACATATTTGTTCAAAATGCAACAATTAACCTACTAAGGAAGTATTTGTTGTAAATAAGGATATTTGGAATGAAAACAGAATTTAGTTTGATAGGTTGATTCTCAGATGTTAATTCTTCTCAGAATTATCCTTTGTACTCTATGCAACCCATCTTGTTTTCTTTACAACTTTTGCTGAGAGAAACCAAGGCATTGATTTTTAATTCTCCCACGTGCCTGGCAACAGGACGAGGGGGAATGGGTTAAAGTTGCACCAGGGGAGGTTTAGGTTGGATATTAGGAAAAAATTCTTTACCGAAAGGGTTGTTGGGCATTGGAATGGGCTGCCCAGGGAAGTGGTTGAGTCACCATCCCTGGAGGTCTTTAAAAGACGTTTAGATGTACAGCTTAGTGATATGGTTTAGTGGAGGACTTGTTAGTGTTAGGTCAGAGGTTGAACTAGGTGATCTTGGAGGTCTCTTCCAACCTAGACGATTCTGTGATTCTGTGATTTTCCATCTCACTTTCTTTTAATTTTCAGTGTATCACCCTTACGGCCTGTACTCTCAACCACTCACACCTTATTTTATTTATATAAACACTTTAAATATCTTCTTATTTATTTATTTTAAGGAAAGGCATGTCAACTGAGTTGGGGCAACAAGAAAAGCAGAGTAATTTTATTTTATTTTTAATTCTGGACTTTCAGTATATGAAGGGGGCTTAAAAGAAAGATGGAGAAAGACTGTTTACCAGGGCCTGTTGTGGCAACGCAAAGAAAACA